TAGAACCTTTAGAAAGGTCTTGGTTGAAGTCCATCAGTCAGGATATTCTATGTTGCACATGATAGAAAACCACAAAAAGGAAGGAAGGAAGGTAGGAAGGAAGGGAGTGAGGGAGGGTGAGAGGGAGGAAGTGAGTTGACTAGTTCTCATAACTAGACCTAAAGTAGATGAACAGTTCAGGCACAACTGCACCCAGGGACTGCAACAATGATATCAAGAATCTAGTTTCTCCAATGGACAGTAACTGTTTCCCTTAAGATCAGGAACAAGGCAGATGCCCACCTTCACCACTTTTATTCAACACAAAACTGGAAGTCCTAGCCACAGCAATCAAACAAGAAGAAATAAAAGGCATTCAAATTGGAAAGGAAAAAGTAAACTGTCATTATTTGCAGATGACATGATACTGTACCTAGAGAACCCTAACGATTCCACCAAAAAACTACTAAAACTGATAAATGGATTCAGTAAAGTAGGATACAAAATAAACACCCAGAAATCAGTTTCATTTTTATACAACAATAATGAACCATCAGAAAGGAAACTAAGAAAACAATACTTGCAAGTAAAAATCCAAGTCTGTATATCTCAGCATTCCCCCAAAAAGCTGAGATTTTCTTTAATACTTATCCAAGGATATGTTTATTGATTTGAGAGAGAAAAACATCAATCGATTGCCTCTCATACACATCCCATCCAGTGATCAAACTCGCAACCTAGGTCTGTGCCTCTGACCAGAATCGAACCCACAGCCTTTTGGTGTATCGGACAACACTCCAACCAACTGAGCCACGCCACTAGGACAAAAGCTCTGAGATTTAATCCAATAGTATCATTTTAGGTCTTGGACCCTCTCCTGAATCAATCACTGTAACAGAGTTGGGAGGGCTATGTTAATTGACTTAAGCCATTAAGGGCCCACCCTTGGAACTATGAGTGGGATCACTCACCTAAACCATGTGGCTTAAAAGTTCAAAGTACAATTAGGATGGAGGTAGAGAGAAACAAATACAATGAAGAACAAGATGTAGTGCCTGCACTCAAATAGCTTGTAGTCTAGGACGAAAAACCAGAATTTGGCAAGCAATTCTGATAAATGCTATGATGTGGGCAAGTATAGGATGCTGTAGGAATACAGGGAAACACACATCTTTAGGGGGAGAGATGCAGAGTCAGTAACCACACCGTATCTACTATCACTATCCATGACATGAGGCAAAGCCATGAGGAAAAGATTGAGGTCAATTGTACAGAGATGGTAACTGAAGCCAGTGGTAGATAAAATCACCCAGGGAGACTGTGTAACACAAAGGAGAACCCCAGGAAGTATGAAAATTTAAAGACAGAAAACCAAGCCTTCCGAAGCAATGGAAGAGAAGGAGCTAGAAATGAGATGAAAGCCTGGAGAGTAATGTTTTGTAGAGGTCATTCCTTACAGGAGGGTTTCAAGAAGAGAATGCTAGTCTGCAACATCATTAGCTGGGAGTGGTTGGGTAAGATGAGAAATGAAAAAAAACCCTTAGGTTAGCCTCAAGGAGGTTGCTGGTACCCCTGAGGGGACCCGTGTCATTGGAAAGCCAGAGCTGACGCCAGCCAGAATTTGTGTGTTGGGGGTAGGGAGTGGAGGAGAAAGGGCTGAGGACATTAAATAATGAAAAATGTTTGGGTAGGTAGAAGGATATATGAAATAAAGGGAGTATTTAAGATGTAAAATGATTCAACATTTGAAAATGCCGATTACAAAGTAACAGTAGAGCAGGAGAGGATGAAGATAAGTTTTACCTAGAATATCTGCACATCACATCCTTCATATGAAGATGTATGTATGCTATATACACAACATGAGATGAAGAGGCTCTTCATAACTGAACAAACCATGGTGAATTAATCATACTTTGGAGAGGTAAAAAAACAAAAACACGTTACAAATTTTAAAATGGATTTCACAAATAAGTGAAATCATAAGATATTTGTCTTTCTCCTTCTTATTTCACTTAGCATAATGCCCTCTAGGTTCATCCATGTTGTTGCAGATGGCAAGATTTCATCCTGTTTTATGGCTTAGTAGCATTCCATTGTATATACATACCACTTCTTCAGCCATTCATCTACTGATGGATACTTAGGTCGCTTCTATATCTTGGCTATTGTAAATGATGCTCCAATGAACATCTAGAGGCATGTCTCTTTTAATTTAGTGTTTTGAGTTTCTTCAGATAAATACCCAGTAGTGAAATTGCTGGGTCCTTCTTTGTCTCTTGTTATAGCCTTTGTTTTAACGTCTATTTTGTCTGGTGTAAGTATCGCTACCCCAGCTTTTTTTCCCCCTTCATTTCCATTTTCATGAAATACCTTTTCCCAACCCTTTACTTTCAGCTTGTGTGTGTCTTTCTACCTGAAGTGAATTTCTTGTAGGCAGCATATGTAAGCATCTTGTTTTCTTATCCATTCAGCCACATTATGTCTTTTGTTGAAGCATTTAATCCATTTACATTTAAAGTAATTGTTGATAGATATGTAGTTATTCACACCTTTTATCTTTTCTCATTCTTCTTAAAGAAGTCCCTTTAATATTTCTTGTAATACTGGTTTGGTGGTAATGAACTCCTTCAGCTTTTCTTAACAAAATAAATGAACAAAAAAACAGAAACAAACTCATAGATACAGAGAACATTCTGATGGTTGCTAGATGGGAGGGAGTTGGGAGGATGGGTGAAAAAGAGGAAAGGATTACAAAGCACAAATCGGTAATTATAAAATAGTCATGAGGATGTAAAGTACAGCATAGGGAATATAGTCAATAATATTGTAATAACTATGTCTGGTGTCAGATAGGGATTAGATTTATGGCGGTGATAACCTTTTAAGTTATAGAAATGTCTAACAACTATGCTGTACACTTGAAACTAATATAATATTGTATGTGAATTATAATTAACAATATTTTTTAAAATGTAATGGGAATTACATCATGCCTGGCCTTTCATGCATTTTTAACTGAATTTTCTGAGTAATTATGACCCAATTTTTTTCATGAAGTATAATTTGAAAATATAATTTTAAATGTTTAAAAATTAAATTTAATTAGTTATAACTGCTGAAGTAAAGGGGCCCAGTCCTATTGTTGACCTGTTTTGTATCACAGACCATTTTGAAAATATGATGAGAACTATCCACAGAAGCAGATGAACTGCTTTTTTTGATACTCTTCCAGGAAGGCTCACTGGAAGACCTCTGAGACCTCCCCACAGGTATGAGGTAAGAGTATACCTTCTCCTAGGACTTGTCAACAGGAATCCTCTTTAGACCTCTCATGTCTGCCAGACAGCAAGCAGGTTTATTCTACTTTCCTTCCTTTTAATCATAATCAAAGTTATATCCCCTAAGCCCTGAACACCAATTGCAGAATTCCTTTCCTCTTCCTACCTTTCCCTACATTCTAGCTGATAATACAGGAACAAATAAACAAAAAAATTTTGGACTCAAATAGTCTTGAAATCCTGGCTCTGTCACTTTCTAAATTACATGATCCTGGCCAAGTATGTATCTCTGAGCTATATTTTACTTACCAGCAATATGAAACTATCAAATCTTTATTTCCTCCAGCCCCAACTGTGCTCAGTCTGAGAACTGGGTATCATTCGTATAGGAACATACCACCTCATTAAACTATCAAATAATCTATTCTATTTCTCTCCTCCTACCCTTGGATTATAAACTCCTTGAAGGCAGGGAACAGACCTTCTATTTAACTTCTCCTTCCCCTTCTGCTTATCATATTTTTGCTTTTAAAACTACCATAAGACTTAATGACTTAGTTCAGTAGTGATTTAGAATTCAGGTCTAAATTTGGTTCTAACCACCCTCATTAATGATCTTTTCTGCATTCCTAACAGGTTTCCCATGTTTCACCTGCAGATGAAAATGTAAAACAAAAATCACACATAGTTTTGTTAGTGGCTTAAGGTCTTGTCAAATCGTTTACAAGATTATCTTTATGGAACTCTTTTAAAAGTAATTACTATATAGGTTACCTAACCTCAAATTAATCAATTTTAAAATTCTCTTATGGAAACAGCTTCAAAAATTTGACTCTCATTTACTTTTATGTATTGATGTAATAACTAGTAAAATCATCAAAGTTAAAATCTCACTAACAGTTATACAACTGTACTACGTTAACTGCCAAGAGAATCACTGCTTTGTAAGAAGGGCATTGTTGAGATGTGAGAAGTTATAGTACCAAAAAAATAAATAAATCCTACAGATAGCATTAGCTAAAGAAGGTTGTTTGGGCATAAGGTGATATATGAAATATTTAGTGTATAATTTATTTTTTTCTTTATTGTTATTGTTGACACCACTGCAGATGTCCTTATTTCCCCCGCCTTTGAGCCCCTCCTCCCAGCCCTGACTCCCCCTTCCCTCTGGCCATCACCACACTGTTGTCTGCATGATTTATTGTACATATTATACATTCCCTGCTTCAGCAAACCAGGAGTGTAGAGTTTCTTTCAGTCAGACCTGAAATTAGTTCTCTCACTCATGTGGCTTCAATTAAGTTCTGTTAAAAATAGTTTGTAATATAAGCATTTTCATTTTTAGTGCTTCAACAACTTTACTAATTTCAATCGATACAGAGGATAAACTTTGGGAAAAAAAAACAATCAAAGGAAGTTACACAGAGTTCTGGTGTTGGCTCTTTATAAATAGTTTAAATCATATATTTAGTGCACTAATAAAGTCCTCTAATAAAGCTATTTTTTCTTATTTTATAATACAAATACATATATTTAAGAAGCATACAGAAAAATATTTCTCTCTTATCTGATTAAACGTAATTCATAAGAATCTCAGTAGAATTTTAACACTAGGATATATCACAAATAATTAGAGAAGTCTGATTTTTGAATTTCATATAATTTCAGGCAGACATTCTGCTTTATGGACTCTGACTTCACATTCATGTCTTCAATGTAGTGAAAATTCAGCCACAGCTGCTATATCCTGCCACTTGTTTTTATTATAATATCTGGAGAAAAAAATATAACAATCAATTACTTCATATATATCACAAGCAGGTGCCCAACAGTTATTAATAACCAGACTTTGGGCAGAGGGCTCTTGATGCCCAGCCCACACCCCATCAAGCTTTAGGAAACAACCCCAGAGTCCCTTAGAAAAAAAGGGTGGGGGAATAGGTGGCCCACTCCTTCCTGGACAGGCTGAGGACAGTCTTTTTGGAGACACAAAAAGACGTGATCAATAACATTCTAGTGGGAAAAAAGCCCAGCAAAGACGGCTGTCAGTGGCCATCACAAGGCCTCTAACCCCAGCCTTGTAACTTGCAGTAAATCATCCTTGTCCTCCTCAGCCACCACCTAAGCTGGAGTCCCTCACATTTTCCCATCCACCCTTCCTCTACATTCTCCTACTCTTTGTTTTATCTGAGCCCAGATTCTTCCCAATACAGGATTCTGAGGTCTTCCCCTCTGTGCCTCTGCCCACCAATTTTGTTCCAAGAGATCCAGAGTGGAGCCAGCTTTACTTATTCCTATTGTCACTTTCATATGATACACCTCACCCCCTGACCTATCCAGCCTATTTATATCAATGGTTCTCAAACTTTGTTATACCTTAGAATTACCTGAACTTTTTATATGTCCTGACATCCAGGCCATACTCCATAGAAATTTAATCAGAATCTCTGGGTCAAGGGACTCAAATATCCAGGGAAGTCTGATGTGCAGCTAAGTTTGAACACCAGAGACCTATACCTTTGCCATTCAAAGTACGGTCCATGGACCAGTAACTTCATCATCATCCAGGAGTTTATTAGAAATGTAGAATCTTGGTCTTCATTTCAGACCCACTGAATCAAAATCTCCATTTTTAACAAAATCCTCAAGCAATTCTCATAAGTACATTAACATTTGAGAAGCACTGGCTATTCTACCCTCTGTTCCTCCTTATTGTTCTTTACTGACCTTAGACACTGTCTGCTCATTTATTAAAGAATTTGGAAACAGTCATCCTCTCCACTCCAAATTTGGAGTAACTTCCCAAATGGGCAACCCCCCACCCAACTACAGTCTTACCTACCCCTCCTCAGCCTTAATATATACATCCAAAGCCATGCCCTGTATTTCCCCGACGTCACCTAGAATGTGTCATTTCTGAAACTTTCCAATGCTAGAAACCGGGAAGTCATCCTCTGTCTTCTCTCACTACCCTGTACCACTATCTGATCAGTCACGAAGCGCTGGGTATTATACCAATAAACATTTTCAGTTTAAACTGGTTCTCAAGTCCCAGAACTCCTGACCAGATTGCTGAAGCAGTGACAAGGAATAAGCATTATTTATAAATTCCGCAGGTGGTCTGAGTGCTACACTTTGAGATACACTAGTTCAGATGTTTATTTTCTCAACTTTGCTCGTCATGACTTGTAAAACACCCGCCTGATCTTTCTGCTCCCAGGCTCCCTTCTTTCTAAGACACCTCCATATTTATAGCCAGAATGATCTAATTAAAGAACAATTTAACCAGGATAAAGTCAAAATCAGTATGGCTTAGGAGGTTCTCCACAATCTGACCTCTGATTACTACACACAACTCAGTTCTCAGAGAGTCCAGCCTCCACTCCAGCTGAGCATAACTATGTTCAGTTCCTAAGTACCCGAGGGCGCTGTAGGCCTCTGTGTGTTTATTTACACTAGTGCTCTGCCTAGAGGCCTATGTCAGGATGCCCCAGGGACTTTAGATGATCCTCCAGAGCATTTCCCACCTTCCCCATTTACCCGAAAGGGTCCTACATAGAGCTCCATAAAAGCATCTGAGGCAAAACAAGCCTCCACCTGGACTTGTTTTGTATACCTGACTGCCTCTATGAGATTTTACAAACTTCAAAAGACAACTGTCTTTATTTCAATATTACCAGCAACTAACGGTCTAGCACATGACATCGACTCAATAAATGTTGCTGAATGAATGCAACAATAAACTGAAGAACTTTTTCTTTTTAGTCTATAGCTGTATGACACCAAATCAACAGTCTTAAAAGGTCTCCATGATGTCAACTAGTTAGATTTCTTTTTTTCCCCAAGGAACTGACTGGTATACTTCACCTTAGGTCAATGGGTCTGTGTCGAAGACTACATACCCTTACCTGGTACCTTCTTTATATGAGACGGCATAACCAAATTTAGCATCAAATACCACATAATATATTTTAGGCTTTCTGGAACTTAATGAAAGCAAAGGAATCAAAGTTTTCAAAGGGAAATATAGTGAGCTAGACTTCAGGAATTAACCTAACCTATAGAAGCAAACAATAGTTATTCCAAATGAGTGATTATTGTATGTCAGACACTATACATAGGTTCTCTCTAATCCTTGCAACAATTCTTTAAGGCAAAGCTACTATTAGTGACAATTTTACAGACAGGAGGGTAAAATTCAGTGGATTTAAGGAATTTGCTCATGTGACAGGGCTAGATGTGGATTCAGGGATGTCCTACTTTTTTTTTTTTTTTTTTTTTTTTTTTTGAGAGAGAGAGAGAGGCAGAGGGGAGGGAGGGAGAGAAAAATCAATGGGTGAGAGATACATGGTTGCCTCTCACACACCCCCAACTGGGGACCTGGCCCACAACCCAGGCATGTGCCCTGACTGGCAAACGAACAGGTGACCTTTCAGTTCACAGGCCAGTGTTCAATCACTGAGCCACACCAGCCAGTGTTTTTTAGGGGGTGGGGTGTTGATGTCCTACTCTTAACTGACCTCTACTACCATCCCTCAGACACTCAAATCTTTTTCCATCTCATTTCTGTTAGATATTTCTGGTAGATACTTCTGGTAGATACAGGTAGAAATCTGGTAGATTTCTGGTAGATACTTCTACCTGCTATTATTATGTAAAAACTCAAACTTTTCACTATTACATATATTTATATATATGTATAAAATAAAGACTGTTATCCTATTTCTAGCTTGAGATAGATATTTATAACACACCATTTATCATCTCTTTTGAAGATAAAAATAAAATAGAAATCTTAAAATCTTACTCTAAGAATAGCCAGTTTTTGTCTAATTTTCCAAAAGGTATTGTTAGCTTGGAAGTCTTCTCTGACACTTCAAAGCAAAGTTCTGGGTTCCGACAGTGCCTAGTTTCACTTCTAGTTTGTCACCTTACAGCGAAGACTGTGGGGTTTATCTTATCACGAGTCTGCAAGCCCTGGAGGGCTAATGCTGTACTATATCCCCAGGTAATACTGTAGTGCCTGATACATGCTTGTTGTCAAATGAAAGTGCCAATATTTTAGACATTCATTGCTAGTGACTCTAAGAAGTACTAAGCAATGATTGCCCCAGCCTCTTCTTGGCAAAAAACAAAAACAGAAAAACAACAACAAAAACCAACTCTGTTTAAATAGAATACAGAAGCTCAATGTATAAAGCAAAGAGAGGCAAAACTGCTCTGCCTGGATGAACTAGGAAACTCAGCCCTATTTACTCTACCTCCTCCAATCCCTATTTGACAGCCACCCAGTTAAACTACTGAGAATCAAAAAAGCTAAGTTGTAGTTCTTATTCTACCAGTAAATAGTTGTGCGAACTTGGGCAAGTCACTTACTGATCTGGCTAGGTCACTTCTGTTATGTAAAATGAGCAAAGGAGATGAGATCATTACATAGTTCTCAAATTTCAGTAGTTATTGGAGTCATTTTGAGAACTCATCAAATTGCAGGCTCCTGTGCCTTATCTCTAGAGAGTGTTGTTTACTAGGTCTGCAGTGATTCTGGTGTAAGTGGTCAGAGAAATCTTGGACTAGATGTTTTCCAAGGCCTCTTCTATCTGGCTGTCACCATTCTTGGAGCTCTGCTTACCCACACACCTCCTCTATCACATCTCATTTGGACTCCTCCAGTGGTTCACTTTCACCAAAGTTTTTCTGTATCAGCATAGTGCCTGTCATTAATGAACATGCAGCATACTGAACAGGGTTCCTAGTCCATCAAAAGTGAGCTTCACCCTGTAGTGCTGATTAGATTACTGCCAAACTAGCTAAAACGTTAAATGCCAGCACTAAAAATAGGTTGCTGCATGTTTAAAATAACATGATCACTAGTTAGCTTGGGGCTTTGCTATTTTTACTAAAGGAAAGGCAGGGACGAATGGCCAGAGGTTGAAAGGGAATTAATTACCTAATTGGTAAATGACGCAAGAGCCTAGAAAGAAGCCAGAAGGTGGCACAATTGGCTCAACATGCATCAGTGGGTCTCTGAGAATTACACTAAAAACTTCAGTCTGCACACTCAAAAGAACTTCTCAGGCACATTTGTTTTGATTTGTTACATACTTAAACCCCAAACTGTGACATTACCTGATGTCAGAAACCAATATGAAGGCCAACAAGATCAAATTAAGAGAAATTTCTCTATTTTTATTTTTTAACTTTTTATTGAAGGATAGCATAAACACGTAAGTGTACACATGTGTACTGTTTAACTTTATGGGTTTTCATAAACAACATACCAACATAAATAGCATCAAGGTAATAAAACATAACACTACCAGCACCCTAGAATTCCCTCATGACCCTCTCCAGTTACTACTCGGTCTCCAACAAGGATATCCACCATAGTGATTTCCATCATAATTTAGTTTTGCCTAGTTTTATACTAAATATAAGTAATATTAAATGTACTTTATTGTGTCTGGCTCCTTATGTAAGATTCCTCAATACTGTTGCATGTAACTGTACATTGTTGATTTTCACTGCTATATAGCACTTCAGTGAATGAATATACCACAGTTTACTTATTTATTATACTGTTTATGGGCATTTGAATAGTTTACAGTATGAGACTACTATCAACAGTGCTGCTAGGAACATTCTATATAGATCTTTTGATGAACATATGTATTATAGTTGGATATGTTCCTATAAGTGGAAGTGCTGGGTACCTAGGTTCCAGGGAAATGGAATTGCTGGATCTTTTTCTACCTCAGTGAAATTTCTAGGAGTCCAGTGAAATGAGAGATGTGCCTCCTAAAATAAAGGGTAAGTAGTTGCATCTGGCCCCTCCTACAACCACAAAAGAGGCACAACACCTACGGGTCCTTTTTAGATTTTGGAGCTAACATATTCCTCCTTTTAGTATACTTCTCCAGCACATTTACCAAGTGACCTAAAGGGTTTCTGGTTTTGAGAGGGTCTCAGAATAAGAGAAGGCTCTGCTACAGGTCCAGGCTACTGTGCAAGATGCTGTGCTACTTGTACCATATGATCCAGCTGATCCAATGGTACTTAAAGTGTCAGTTGCTGACAGAAGTGCTGTTTGGAGCCCATTGATGAATCACAGCACAGATCATTTGGATTTTGGGGCAAAGCCCTGACATTCTCTGTGGATAATTATGCTCTCTTATCAACAAAGTGTGTTTGGCCTCCTACTGGGCCTTAGTGGAGACTGAATACAGAACCATGGGCCATGAACTTTTAACAAGAGTTGAGCTGCCCATCATGAATTGTGTGTTGTCTGACGCACCATGCCATAACGTTGGCTGTGAAGAGCAGCACTCCATTATCAAATGGGAATGGTATATATGAGATTGGGCTCAAGCAGGTCCTGAGAGCCTAAGTAAGTTATAAGAGGAAGTGACCCAATTGTCCAAGGGCCCCACTCCTGCTACATTAACTTCTCTTTTCCAGCCTGCACTCATGGCATCACGGGGAGTTCTTTTCAATCAGCTGACTGAGGAAAAGAAAACTCAGGGTTGGTTTACAGATGGTTCTGCATGATATGCAGGCAGCTCATGAAGGCAGACAGCTACAGTACCTGTAGCCCCTTCTTGGAGCAACCCTGAAGGAAACGGCTGAAGGGATATCCTTCCAGTGGGACAGGACTTGGTGCAGTGCACCTCTCTGTTCACTTTGTTAGAAGGACAAAGTCCCAGATGTACAATCAGATACTGATTCAGGGACTGTGGCCAAACTTGGAAGGGGCATGACTAGAGAATTGGTGACAATGAAATGTAGGAAAGAGGCTTGTGGATAGACCTCTCTGAATGGGGGCGCGGGGTAAACCAACCCTGAAGATATCTGTCTCATGTGAATGCTCAACAAAGGGTGCATTCAGCAGAGGAGGACTGAAATAATCAAGCTGGTGACTGGTTCTGTGGATGCCAGTTAACCTTTTCCCCCAGCCTCTCCTGTCATTGCCCAGTGGAGGTTATGCTTGTGCTCCGCAACATGGACTTCCGCTCCCCAAAGTCAGCCTGGCTATAGCCACTGCAGAGTACCCAATCTGTCAGCAGCAGCGTCCAACATCTCATCCGCAATGGCACCATTCCTTGGAGGGATCAGCCAACTACATGGCGGCAGGTTAATTACACTTCCATCACAGAAGAGGCAACATATTATTCTTACTGGAATAGATACTTAACTCTAGATATTAATTTGCTTTCCCTGCACAAAATGCTTCTGCCAAAACCACCATTCAAGGACTTATAGAATGCCTTATCTACCATCATGGTATGCCACACAGCATGGCTTCTGATCAAGGAACCCGCTTCACAGCAAAAGAAGTGCAGCAATAGGGCCACACTCATGGAATTCCTGGTCTTACCATGTTCCTCACTATCTTGAGGCAGCTGGCTTAACAGAACAGTGGAATGGCCTTTTGAAGACTCAGTTACAGCACCAGCCAGGTGGCAATACCTTGCAGGGCTGGGGCAAGGTTCTCCAGAGGTTGTATGTGCTCTGGACTAGCATCTAATATAGAGTGCTATTTATCCCATAGCCAGAATTGAAAGGTCCAAAAATTTAGGGGTTAGAAATGGAAATGGGACCACTCAACATTACCCTTGGTGACCCACTAGTTAAATTTTTGCTTCTTGTTCCCATGACTGTATGCTCTATTGGTCTAGAGGCCTTAGTTCCAAAGGGAGGAATGCTTCTGCCAGGAGATACAACAGTAATTCCATTGAACTGGAAGTAAAGACTGCTCCCTGGCCACTTAAGTCTCCTCCTGTATGAGTCAACAAGCAAAGAAAGGAGTTACTGACTGGTTGGGGTCACTGATCTTGACTAACAAGGGAAGACTCGACTACCACTCCACAATGGAAGAGTATATCTGGAATACAGGAGGTCACTTAGGGCATTACTTAGTATTACCATGCCCTATGATTAAGGTCAATGGAAAACTACAACAACCCAAACCAAGCAGGACTAGTAATGTCACAGACCCTTAATAAATGAGGGTCTGCGTCACCCCACCACTTAAAGAACCATGACCAGCTGAAGTACTTATTGAGGGCAGAGAGAGTATGGAATGGGTAGTAAAGAATAGTAGTTATAAATACCAGTTATGACCACGGGACTAATTAAGAAAATATCTTGGTTTTCCTCCCTCTCTTATGCTCATATTATCCAACATAAGATATAATAAGAGTTAGCATTATATCACAGTACTTGAGTTGCAGAATAACAAGGAGAAGAGTAAATATCTCCCAAAGATTTTGAACCTTCTTCTGGGGAAGTAGTTAGCACATTTTTTGTTATATATAGGACAGTTGTATTATGTTGGGCAGGGGTATGATTTTGTTACTGTCTTTATTTGGAGATTAAATATAGTTTAAGGAGACGTATATGAATGCACAATTGACATAGAGTGGCCTGTGATGGCTAGTTACATGTGTCAACTTGACTAGGTTATATTACCAATTATATTAAAGACTAATCTTGGTGTTGCTGTGAAGGCATTTTGTGCATGTGGTTAACATCTGTAATAACTGATTTTACATAAAGGAGATTACCCTTGATTATGTGTGTGGGCCTCTTCCAAATAGCTGAAAAGCCTTAAAACAAAGCTGAGGTTTCTCTGAGGAAGAAGAAATTCCTCCTGAGGACTGCATGAACATCAGCTCCTGTTCAAGAGTCTCCAGCCTGCCCTACAGTTTTTAGCCAGACCTTACAATTGCTCTACATCAATTCCTTGAAGTATGTATTTATATCCTACTAGTTCTATTTCTTTGGTAGAACCTGGACTGTTACAGCATCTACTATTCCCCACCACTATGCTAATGTTATCAGAGACAGAAATAGAAGCTTACTATGTGGCCTCTGTCCTTAAATACTTCATAACCTGCCCTGGCTGGTGTGGCTCCGTGGACTGAGTGCCAGCCTGAGAACCAAAGGGTCGCTGGTTCGATTCCCAATCAGGGCATGTTCCAGGGTTGCAGGCCAGGTCCCCAGTGGGGGGCGCGAGGTGCATGAAAAGCAACAACACATTAAAGTTTCTCTTCCTCCCTTTCTCCCTCCCTTCCTATCTCTCTAAAAATAAATAAATACACCCAAATAAATAAAATCTTTAAAAAAAAACTTCACAACCTAAAGAATATAAAAAGTAAGCATTATAATTTATGTCAGGTAGTAATATATTATTAAATGTCAGATGAGTAGCACTGACTTAAGAATTCAAGGAACTTAGAAAAGAAAAAGATCTCTGTGGATTTAAGGAATTCTCAGAACAGGCTCTGTGGAAAAAACAGGGACATGGATCAATGGGGTCTGATATGCAGTGAGGGAAGTAGAGAAAAACCTATACTTGGAGTTTAATAGTAAGATTGAACTCCTCTCTACCATATGATCTTGGACAAATTGCATACTATTTTAAGCCTCAGATTCTTAATATATAAAATGAGGATAACAGTACAAATCTTGTCTATCATAAAGTCATAGTGAGAAATAAATGAGATATAATAAGGTGCTTAGCTGAATGCCTTTCACAGAGAAAGGACTCAATCAATGTTAAGTAAATGCAAAAATGTCTCCATACTGTTTAAAAGAATGCTACTAAAAATAAAACCTGACAACATTAAATTTCTGATAGTTGTAACAGGAATTGTCTTAAATACATTTTAAATCAATGGCATTAGCTAACTTTTCAAAAGATGAAGTGTTTGATTTTCAAAAAAAAATTATTTTAATGAGGTTTTGAAACCTGACCAAACTTTTAATTTTACTATTTCCACTTGTACAGGAACTCTCAAAATACAATTTATAACTGAACTCTCTGTGTACATAGGAATTTATATCAAAACATGTTTATAGCTTTTTAAAAGTAGACTCTGCATTCATACTACGGTACCTTGAGGAATATCTTTAGGAAAAGAAAATTTCTTCTTCTTTAAAATAACGCTTTTACTTTTCACTTGTCTAGTTCCTGGTGATGCTTTAATAATACAACATATTTCTGATGTATTTGAAAGAACCTGAAAAAGAAGAAAAAAGGCATTGTATAATTCCTTCAGGTACGATATTTGTATGTTACTTTATTTCAAAGGCAAATAATCTTAGTATCCATATTTCATAAATATTCATAAAAGCACTTATGAAATACTTATCCACTCTGGACACTAACTAGTTGGCTTTAAAACATTTACTATTTAATACTCAGAAGAACCAGACAAGGCAGATTACATTATCCCCATTCATAAAATTAGAAAACTTAGATTTTGAGAGATTGGATAGCTTATTTAAGGACAGAGAGAAAATAATGGTAGAGTTGAGATTCAAGCATTCCAAAGTGGGAGGCTATTTACACGATTTACTGAATTAAAAAAAAATTAAATTTAATTCTCAAACACTAGATTTCCCTAATTTTCCAACTCATGTAATTTTGACACTTTCTCATTAAGCAGAGAGTCTCTAGAATAAAGAAATATCTTATCTTTCAAAAGTGATATATTTGTTTCTTAGAACACAAAAGTAGGGATGTATTTATCAAGGGATCCTCTCTCTCTCTCTCTCTCTCTCTCTTTCTTTTTTTTTTTTTTGATTCTAGAGAGAGGGAAAGGGAGAGAGAAAGAAAGGGAAAGAAACATCAGTGTGAGAGGGGAATGAACCTGCAAACCAGGTATGTACCCTATCCCAGAATCAAACCTGCAATCTTTCAGTTTTCAGGATAATGCCCAATCAACTTAGCCACACAGCCAGGGCTCCTCTCATTTTAAAGATATTATTTTTACTTATTTTTAGAGAGAGAGGAAGTGAGGGAGAGAAACACTGATTTGATTGCCTCTCACATGTACCCCAATCGAGGACCTGGCCTGCAACCCAAGCATATGCCCTGACTGGGAATCAAACCAGCGACCTTTTGCTTTGTGGCACAATGTCCAACCATCTGAGCCATGCCTGTCAGGCCAGGGCTCCTCTCATTTTACATACAGCCTATATAGAAACCTTTTCTGCTACAAAATTCCGTATCATCCTCAGTAGAGAACATTTGCAATTTTCCTGCCAGCATTCAGCTTCAATCCTTTTGGTGCTTCTAGTTGTCCTGGGAGAACCTACTCATTCTACCAGCCTGCATACCACCCCCTCCATGTAGATGAGGTGGAGCTGATGATACTTCTGAGCCCCAAGATGGCCATGACACCCAGCGTAGCCAGTCAACGTATTCCATGGCCCTGAACATAGTGACTAACTCAGACAAGAACACTATTAATGGGCCAGTAGGAAAAAGGGAGTGCTTGAGCCTGAGATTCCCACACTAAGTCAAAATCTTTAAATGAGGAACAGTGGCCCCGGATTGATACCCAACCCTGGCTATAGCTGTTGTAGTAGAAACAGACACAAACACTCTTAGGATGATAGGATCTTTAATTTATGTCTACAGGATTCTTATCAAATAAGGGCAAGAAAATAAATGATCAGGGTCAAGAGTAGGGCCAGAATTGTCATTCAAGGCTCAGCCCAGAATAGTTCCAAGCAGAAATGATGGACAAAATACATTTTACTTCCTCCTATAAATTCATTATAACACTAAAGGAAGCACCAGACTCATTAGAAATCAAGCCACTATGTATAAGACTATGTAAGAACATCAAACAGTGGATTTAAACCCTCAGAACAGAAGATATTAGATTGCCAAATTGGAATAGAATAACAATGTGTGGAATGATTAAAGGATTAACAATTCAAATCTTACAGAGAAGCAAGCAGGACACTATGAGGAATAAAAAGCAAACTTGAAAAAGAAACAACTAGAACTTCTCGAAATGAAAAACAAAATTGTCGAAATAAAAATTTGATGCAAGGTTTAAGCAGCAGAGTAGACACAGCTAGAGAGAGAATTACTGAAGAAATTACCCAGAATACAACAAATAAGTGATAAATATTAAAGAGCGGTTGGAAGATATAAAGGATAGGAAGGGGCCTCACATAAACTAATTACCATTACAGAGAGAATAAAACAGATAATAGCTGAGAAATTTCCCAAACTGATGAGAGACAAGAATCCATAGATTCAGAAAGCCTAATACCCCAAGCAAAATTAAAATAAAAAAGAATAAATGAAAATACTAATTCATTTATGTAAATATTCTAGTGAAATTATAGCATACCCAACATAAGGAGAACCTTAAAAAAGCTAGAAAGAAAAAAAATATATTAGTCCCCATGGCCTCCCTCAGGCTCAATGATTTGCTAGACAGGCTCACAGGATTCACGAAATGTATTATACTCATAGTTATAGTTTATTATAGCAAAAGGATACAGATTAAAATCTGCAAAGGGAAGGGGTACATACAGTAGAGTCCAGGAGAAAGGGCCTATAGAGCGGAATCCAGATGGACAAGCTTTGAGTTATCCTCTCTTAGCTGAGTCACATGAACAACAATTAATTCCCTCACGTGCAGTGCTGCCAACATGGGAAACTCAGAGAGCTCTGACTCAGACCCCATTCCCTCAGAGGTCAAACTTATACAAAGTGGCCCAAGGACTTAGGTATCAAAAGGAGGCTTTTACCATAAATTGCATTCTTAGTATTAACTATCTGGATGGTTCAGGACATAAAAGACATTCTTACAAGGCAGGATACTCCAAGGTAATCTCTCAGGAGCCTTGCCACAGGACAGTTCAAATATATGTGACAGCCTAATATCCTTTATTGGGGATTGTAACTGATGGCAGACTCCACACGTACATGATATTAAGCTTAAATGAGTTACAGATTTTTAAAGACATCTCATCTACAAAGAATCTAACAGTAATTATGTCTTTTGGTGATGGAAAGAAAAATTGAAAATACTACCTCATTTGAAAAATTTTCTTGCAAACTTGAGACAGGAACAATTTCATCTGAATTAACACAGTTGCTGACATTTGGAAATAGTTCTTCCAAAGATGCTTTTTGTACTGAGGACAGATCAATCTATAAAAGAATATATTACTCTTTTGTTGAAGTTAAGTATTGCAAAACTAATTATTTTTAAGTAATGAAAGGAAAGTTGAAACATACTATTTCATTAGAAGCATTTTCTTGTGAACTTGACAGATGAACAATTTTATCTGAATTAATATTAATTGCTGACATTTTGGAAATAAGTTCTTCAAAAGATGGATGTTTAACCGGGGACAAATCAATCTATAAAGATTATAATATTCTTTAGCTTTAAAGTTATTATTTAAATAGGTATTTTTATTAGCTACAGCATACTATTCTTCATTCAACTTATATTTAAAAGGGGTTTATTAACTGAAATCCATCCACCCTTTCTGTCGGCCAAAAGCCTGTGGTTGAGTGTCAAAGAAACAGAGTAATAGACAGAAAAGGACAGATAGACATCAAGACAGGCTGGTGCTGCAGTATTCTAGTCTTTTTTTTCTTTCTTTTATGTATAAAAATATACATAAAAGAAAGAACTTCTAGTGAAAAATAAAAAATAAAAATAAAAATATTATTCTCTATGTGCAATACTCCCCTGGTATTACAGAAACAGAACAACAGGGAGGAAGGGGAGCCAGAAAATAGATGTTACGAAGTACAAATACTAATTCTTACCTCTAAACTAGCAGTCTGTGCAGTTGGAGTACTTGTTAACAGGCCTCTGCTTTTCTTATCAGGAGCAGCAAGATTTGCATCCTATCAATGTTTTGTGAAATACAGGATTGAACAACATAAAGAAATAAACTACTTTAATACCATAAAAACACAATTTAAAATTTGTAGACTAAATAATAATGTCTCATACTAATAGAATTTTAACTTGTTAATTAAATTTTAAACCATTAGGTAGCTAAAGAATTCTCTGACTTGAGCTAGGTCAAACAACTTTCAAGAGAACTTTATGTGGTGTAACAACTATTTGAGAATATTTTGGTTGAAATCACTATTAATTTAGGAAGAAAAGCTAATTAAACATTTGAATTAGGAAATGGTGCTTTGATTATCTTTGTTAACTGCTAAGAAAAGTATTTTACTTATAGCATTTGTTTAATTCCTAGTATATACTGTACTTTTTATGGAAAGGGAATATGAATTTTTTCTGAAGCTGTTCAAACATGTAGCAAGGATAGTTAAAGTACATACACTTTCATTTACAGAACATCAAAGTTAAAGAAAGTACAAAGTAGGATACAGACTTATTTTCTATTTCTTGAAGATGTAAAGGGCCAAAGACAGACAAATCAAGAGTGAGAGACAGAGAATAGAAAGTGGCAGGATCAGAGAGCTAAAGAATTTAAGAGAGAGAGAGGGAGAGAAAGAGAGGGAAGGAGTGGGGAGGGAGAGGAGAGAAAAGGGATAAAGAGGAAGAAAGAAAGAAGTGGAGGGGGCGAATGGGAAGAGAGGGAGGATGGGGAGACAAAAGACAGAGAGGAAGAAAAAAGGAAGATTAAGAGGAGAGAGGGAGGAAGAAGAGAAATGGAGAAAATAGAGACCAACAGAGAGAGAGCAGAAAGACTGAGATTGATGTAAAAGAAACAGACAAAAAAGGACAGATAGAGATCAAAACAGAGACAAGGAGAAGAGAGACAGAGCTTGAGACTAAACGACAAAACCAGAGAGAGCAAAGAGAGAGAAACAGGTGGAGAGTGAGAGAGCAGAAAGAAAGTGATAGAGTCAAAAAAAGAGAAGACAGGCAGTGTCCTTTCCAGCCATCAGCTTCCTTTTCAACTCCTGGATTCCATGGAATAACCATGTCCCTGGGACAAATCTCTTTGAGAGGTGTCAATTATGTGCTGCCATGTCTGGAACCCAAACACTGAGTTAAAACTTGAACAGCATAGTAAAGTTTGTGTTGGGTTTCTTTTTTCTTTCTTTCCTCTTTTCTTTCTGGCTTAAAAATCTCTGAAACTAGTTGTTTGTTCAGGATGTAATCTGAAATAGTTCATTAGAAAAAAATTTATCAAAATAATAAGAACAAAAATTTTATGGGCATACATACCTGGTACATTGACTATGTCAGCTCTCTAATTTATTAGCTATATAATGTTTTAATTCCTTCATCTGAACCTTGGGGATTATTTCTACCCCTAGGGACTGCTAAGCAAAGGTTACAAATAACACCTGTAAAAGAGAACCTCTGGTGTGCCAAGAATAGGAGATGCTCAATGACAGCTGTTCTGTTATCACTGTAGCGAGCCATGGAGGTGCTCTGCTCAGACTTGAACAAAGAACCTGCTGTTCCACCACAAGGAGAGCAGTTAGCTGACAGTCTCCAGCGGCACCATCTTTAGAACCTGCTTCAGCTCTCGGGCTGAGGCCATCGTCTTCTCCGGCAAACTTCAGCCAACACCTAAGCACAGTAGCCCAACATAGGATTCCTGTAATGGACAATCTTTGCTCTAGACTTCCCTACAGGGAGAGCTTCTGTCAGATCCACATTGAAGACTGAGGCTCTCTTCCTCAGTGCTGCCTATGGAAATGGTGGCTGTCCCCTACTAAGCAGCATGGCTGCTATCAGACCCTCGTGAAACCCGAGATTGTCAAAAAGAGGACAAGAAGTTCATCCGGCACCAGTCAGACCGATATGTCAGAACTAAGCGTGCCTGGCGGAGACCCAGAGGCACTGACAAAAGGGTGCGCAGAAGAGTCAAGGGCCAGATCTTGAGCCCAACGCTGGGTAGGGAGCAACAAGAAAATGAAATCCATGCTGCCCAGTGGCTTTCGGAAGTTCCTGGTCCACAATGTCAAGGAGCTTGAAGTGCTGCTGATGTGCAGCAAGTGTCGCTGTGCTGAGACTGTTCACAACATCTCCTCCTAGCCAACATGCACAGAGCAGCCCAGCGGGCCATCAGGGCCACCAATCCCAATGCCAGGCTGCACAGTGAAGAAAATGAATAGACAACCTGTGTGCACATTGTATTTGCGTTAATAAAACCATAAAATCCTGCCTTCTGGGATATCAAAAAGAAAAAGAAAAAAAAAAAGACTGAGGCTATTCCTGCCCATCCTGCTTCCTCTCTGCTGTCCTTTCTCAGGTATTACCTGCCAATAGGCCGTTTGAATTCTTAATTCTGTCTGAATATCTGTGCCCCAATTGGCAACTCTCAGTCAATTTACCAACATCTGCCTTTACAGAGCTATAAATACAGCGTCTCTGCACTTTTCCCTAGATTTGTTAAGAAATTGTGCATATCTAAATCTTCTCAATAAGTACATTTTCTTTCCACAGTCCTTCCAAGAAGCGGTTAGTAAAAGACCAGTGCTTACCAATGCAGGTTCCAGGGGCTGAGGCAGCAGAATTTTGGTAACTGATTTACCTGCATTGCTTTCAAGATCAGACCTCTGGTGAGATGACTGAACCTTGATTTTTAGATGGGAGCTTAACTTTGTTTGAAAATTTGTATCTCTAGGTTCAGGATCTTTTCCAGGCTGAAAACAAATTCATAATCATGAAATACTATTCACAGGCTATAAAAAAATATGTAGTGCTTCTCAGGTGTCCTATTTTTATTGTAATATGTTATAATTGTTGTAATTAAAATAGAATATAAATCCTTTCTTTTTCCTTCTTTCTTTCCATCATTCCCTCAACTTGAAAAAAGTTTTAAACTTAAAGATAATTCTTTTTCTTAAAAAAGTAAAGTTCTCTATAAAGGGTGGGCAAAGTAGGTTTACAGTTGTTCACATGAGAATTAATACAATAATTAATATATAATAATGCAAGAATAAACTCTGGCCCTGGTCAGTGTGGCTCAGTAGGTTGGAACATAGTCCCATATACCAAAAGGTTGCAGGCTCAGTCCCTAGTCAGGGCACATATGGGGAAACAACCAACCAATCGATGTTTCTCTCTCTCTCTTCCTTCCTCCTTCTCTCTCTCCCTCCCTCTCTTTCACCCTCCCTTTCTCTCTCCCTGCTCCTTCCTCACCCTCTGAAATAAAAAAAATAATTGAAAAAAAAGAATAAACACTGTGTTTCACATACTCACAACTATAAACTTACTTCTGCCCCACTCCTGTATATTTAAAGAAAAAATATGTTGAAAGACAAAATGGTTTGCAATATACTTAGCTCAAAAAATTTCTCTACCACATTTAAGGCAACATCTCCCAGAGAGTGTTCTTTTAAAACAAATGATAAATTAGATTTATGTATTAATCAATATTTAAAATTAAATTTTAGAGAAAAAATTAACTATGTCTTTGTTATGCAATAATCTTCATTTAAAAAACCAAATGTCCTCTCTAAGATATCAGAAAGCTGCAACTACAAGAAAATGTTGCTTTACCAACTAATTCCTGCATTGAAAACTGTAGATTGTTCAGTGACTATTTCTTTGTCCTAAATTGTGTAACTTGGCTAATGCTTTCAAGATGTATTTAAAATAGTATTCAAAGTTTAAATAAATTCAACATCACTGAGGAGGGGTTATTTGAACTGGGTCCTGAAAGAATGGCAGGATTTTGAGTTGGGACTAAGGGGAATGAAGAGGATGGTAGAGCCCTGGCTGGGTGGCTCAGTTGGTTGGAGCATCGTCCTGTACACCAAAAGGATGCGGTTTCCTTCCCCAGTCAGGACACATCCTGTGGGTTGTGGGTTGAATCCCTGGTTGGGGCACATACAGAAGGCAACCAATCGATGTTTCTCTCTCACACTGATGTTTCTCTCTCTCTTTCTCCTTCTCTCCCTCTCTTTCTCAAATCAATGAAAAAACATATCGTCAGGTGAGGATTAAAAAAAGAGAGAGAATGGTAGAGAGAGAGGAGAAGGAAGTAGAAGAGGCATATTCCAAGCAAAGGAAACAAGGGTATAAAGCAAAGAGTCGGGTACCTATTGGCAATGAAGATTTCACACCTTGCACACAGCTTTTCCTCTTACTCCTGTCATTATTCTCAGCAATTTTAGCATCCAAGTGGGTTCCCATGCAACCAACTGGTCTCTGAGTTGCTTGACTTCTGTATTTCTAATAACCTTTTCCCCTCATGCTATTTCAGTCATTCCATGACCAAACTTAGGTAGTCCTTACCATCAACAGAAACTACAGAATCACCAATTCAAATAGTTTCTCATATCTTTCCAATCCCTGTTCAATTTTCTTCATGAAATAAACTTTCTCCTCACTGAAATCTCATTTATTGATCTTACCATTTTATTTTCATCCATGATCCTTCTCCTATCTTATTCCATCCTTATCTACCACCATCCATCATTGTAAGTACCTTCTTATCCTTTTCTCTGTCTAATCACAGATGCTTGACAAATCCCTAGCTCTTGATGAACCCTGACATCAATATCCTCTGGACCTCTAGTACAAGTGAGTGATGGGGAAAACTGCACAGTCTGACATATCAAAGACACCACAAACTCAAAAGGAGCAGCCACAGACTGGCAACTCGTCCATACTTCTCTAGCTTCTCATGACTGTTTCATGCTCACCCTATTTTCCTTACACTTCTAGTCCCTTTTCTCTACTGACAGCCTTACTTTACACTTCCCTCCAACTACAGAAGATATCAAACAGGATGCAACCACTCAGGACTCATAATTTTTAGGACCCAGTACAAAATGAAAATGTCAGGCCCCTTGTTAAAAAAAAAAAACAACTATTAAAAATGTCAAGATGGTAACAGCAGAAGATCAAATGAAGTAGGGTCTTTCTAAGCACAAAGCCTGCTCTGGTACCACTACATCTACAAATGTCCCACAATAGAAATAGCTCTCTTCTTTTAACGGCCAGTTCCTCCACTTACATTCTGGATTCTATCCCTTCCCTTTTTTTCAAGGATTTCCCTCTTCCAAATGATAGTATAGGGGAGTTTTGGGGTTTTTTAAAACACTTTATTGAGACATAATTCACATACCATACAATTCACCCATTTAAAGAACAAAATTCATTGGTTTTAGTATATTCACAGGGTTGTTAAATCATCACCAAAACCTAATTTTAGAACATTTTTGTCCCCTCCAAAGACACCCATGCTCATTAGCAGTCAATCTACATTCCATCTCCACCAGCCCCAAGTAAGCACCAATCTATGTCTGTTGTTATAGATTTGCCTATCTTGGACACTTCTTATAGATGGAATCATAATAAGCAGTTTTCTGTAACTGGTTTCTTTCATGTTGCATAATACTTTCAAGATTCAACCAAGCTGCAGCATGATTCAGTGCTTCATTTGTTTTTATTGCCAAATAATATTTAATTATATGGATACACCACACTTTATTTATCTATTCATCATAGATGGACAATGAAGTAGTTTCTACTTTTTGGCTATTATGAATAAATGTTGCTATGAACATTCATGTATAAATTTTCATGAGGATGTGTGTTTTTATTTTTCCTGGGTATAAACCTGAGAGTAGAACTCCTGGGTCCTATGGTAAGTCCATGCTTAAAATTTTGAAGAACTGCCAAATTATTTTCCAAAATGGCTAGACTATTTTACGTGCCCACCAGAATGTTTGAATGTTCCAGTTTCTCCACATCATCACCAACATTTGTTATCTGTCTTTTTTATTATAGTCATTGTGGTGGATATGAAGTAATAATCTGTGGTTTTGAATTGCATTTCTCTAATGACTAATGATATTGAAAGCATCTTTTCACGTGCTTACTGACCACTTGTACATCGTCTTTAGAGAAATACAGGGAAATTTTTGTGCACCAGCTTCCCAGGGATGGTAAAGCAATAATCAGGAAAAGATATCTACTAGGAGCAGAGCTTTTGAGAAGAGAGAGATGATACAAGAGCATAAGAAATGACACTTAATGCAAGATATGACACACTTAAATTACAAGATGCTTGACAAGTACAGGTGTGTGTGTGTGAATTGGTGGAGCAGAAACCAAGACAGTATGCATAAAAGCAGGAAAGGGAAACGTAACCATGAGGAAGCAAAGAAGCATAGAAAAGAAAACATAGAAGTATGAAGAAGATTTTTTATTGCTTAGGTTAAAGTGAGATTCAGGCCAACTTCAATTAAATATTTAGGTCACAGGGAGCTCCAGGAGCCTACTGGGTTACATTAATCTATCCTCTCTTCGTTCCTTCCATAATTCCCATCAGCCCTCAAAAATGATCTGGTATATACCACCTTTAAAACAAAACAAACATCCTCCAACCCCGCCTCTCCCTCCTGTTACTGTTCTTTTTCTCTATTTCTCTTCAGAGTCTAGCTCTATACATAATTGTTACTTCCTCACTTTCTTTTCCCCCCACTGTTATCAAGGAATACTTGACAAATATAATTGTATATAATCGAAATGTACAGGTGATGATTTGATACACATTACATTGTGGAATAATTACTAAGATCCGGACAATTAACACATCTATCACCTCCCATAGGTAACTGTGTGTGTGAGCATGGTGAGAAAGCTGAAGATCTACTCTCACCAATTTTCAGGTATACAGTACCACGTTATTAACTATCGTCACTGTGCTGCACATTACATCCTCAGAGCTTATTCTTCTAAATAAAAGTCTGTACCCTTTCACCTAGATCTCCTCATTTCCTCATCCCTTCAGACCCTGACAACCATCATTCTATTCTGTTTCTATGAAATTGACCTTTTCTTTTTTTAGGATTTCACATATAAGTGAAATCATATAGTATCTGTTTCTTTGGTTTATTTCACTTAGCATAATGTCTAGAAACATTGTCACAAATGATGAGATCTTTTTTGTGGCTGAATAGTATCAATATCTATATCACATTTTCTTTATCCATTCATCCACCAAAGAATTTTAGGTTGGTTCCTTATCTTGGTTACTGTGAATAATGCTGCAGTGACCACAGGAGAGCACACATCTCCTCAAGATACTGATTTCATTTCCTTTGGATATATACCCAGGAGCGAGATTGCTGGATTACATGGTACTTTTTAGTTTTGTTTGAGGAACCGCCATACAGTTTTCCACGATGGGAGTTCCAAGTTACATTCTCATCAACAGTGTATAAGGTTTCCCTTTTCTCCACATTCTTGCCTACATTTGTTATCTGTCTTTTTGATAATAGCCATCCTAACAAGTGTGAGGTAATATCTCGTGCTTTTGATTTGCATTTCCCTGATGATAAGTGATATTGAGCACCTTTTCATGTGTCTACTAGCCACTTATATCTCTTTTTTCAAAAAATGTCTATTCAAGTACTTTGCCCATTTTTAACTGGATTATTTGTTTTTTTTTGCTATTGAGTTGTACAGGTTCTTTATATATTTTGGATATCAATCCCTTATAACACATGTGATTTGCAAATATCTTCTCCCATTCTGTACATTGCCTTTTCAATTTATTATTTCTTTGCTATGCAAGAAGCTTCTTAGCTTGATATGTCACTTCTTTATTTTAGCTTTTGTAGCATGTCTCTTTGGTATCTTATCAAAGAAATCTCTGTCAAGACCAATGTCGAGAAGCTTTTCTCCT